CCCCCCCCATCAGTGGACTCTGTCGTCTGCCCCTCTGGCCCCTATCCTCCACGTCTACCAGCTAGACGACCCAACCGGGGCCACATGGACCCCCTCCTGCGGTTCCTGCCTGAGATATTTTTATCGCGAGAAGGGTACAGCAATCTCTTTTCTCGCGACTAATGAAGTCGATCAAGTTTACTAACAAGGAGCTTTGCAGCGCGTCGCTTCCAACGGAGACCAAGATTCAATTAGCGAGNACGACCCAACCGGGGCCACATGGACCCCCTCCTGCGGTTCCTGCCTGAGATATTTTTATCGCGAGAAGGGTACAGCAATCTCTTTTCTCGCGACTAATGAAGTCGATCAAGTTTACTAACAAGGAGCTTTGCAGCGCGTCGCTTCCAACGGAGACCAAGATTCAATTAGCGAGGAAAAACTCACTCTGTCGGGACTCGAACCCATGGCATGGCCCTTAGCAGGCTGCGAGGCTACTCACTAGACCACCGGGGCGACCGGTACTACTGTACATAGCTGTATATTGGCCAGACTGGGCCGTTCATTGGCGATAGCTTGCTTGGTGAGGGCTGCAGAATACGCATTCTGTCTGGGAATCATGGATGATCGCAGGAAGTTTGTACATACGGTTAGGTTTGCTCTCCCGGCCGTACAGTGGGTACTGGATACCCTTTTCATGAGCGCTTGTACGCGAGATCGCCATACCATGCTACGATTGGTAGGGCGCCGTGGACCTTGCAGTTTCTCACCGCTGCTATCATAGCGTCTGCGGCTGGAGGCAGGTTGACATGAGATGACGAGCGAATATAGTCTACATATTGAAAACAACAATAATACACAGGATGGGTAGCAGCGCTGGCGAAGGGAATCACTCTCCTTGGAGTGAAAGTGTCGGGTCATTTGGACCCCACGACTGACTTTTGTAGAAGTCAAAAGCAAACGGTGAGACTAAAATTTTCAGCACCGCCCTCTACTGTAGGTAGTCTCATAATTGATTTCGGCTTCTTCTCTAGATAGACTTCGGGGTGATGGCAGAAGAGAGTAGCGTGTAGTGATTTGACTTCGGTATACTTCAGGACGGCAGAGGGTGGCGACGAAAGACAAAATCCTGGATCTTCACACCGGGAAAAAGAGCAGGAATTGCAAAAGCAAGGTCATTTTCTCGCAAAATCTTTTTAGGCCGCCGTCCTACATATCACTTACAACCTGCTGCTACAGGTGGCGGGACTGTTGACTTCCACCCAAACGTCGGGCAGCTCTTTGCGCATGTCGGTGGGCATACTTGAAGCTCCATGAACTCTGTGTAATACTCAACCCCATCGATCCATATTGCAAAGACGCAATATCCATAAGCCCTTGAATATGTAGACTATATATTCACCACCTTAGACTGCGGCATCATCAGAGTACCATACGATACGTCCGTCAACCAGTCCGCCTTTCGTGAGGTGGTCTGTTCACATACTTGAAGTATACGGGCAGTGCTGTACATTGCGACTCTTGTTGTCTCGCTCCCGCCTCTCCGTTTCGTAGTATATGATAGGATCGGTAGATCCAAGCACCAAGCGCTTTAGAGAGTACCGCCATTTCCCCCTCCAATTAGCAACTGAGACGGCGTGCTATCCAGCTGCAATGTTGGTGCTACTGAACCGCCAACAGGAGGACTCTCGATCCAGGTAAAATCGTTCTCCGGTTTTGCATTGCGAGATTACTGCTGTGCTGTTGTACCCTAATGTGCGGTAATGACAACGAGTTTATCGTAAGAGCGAGCATCCCACCTCAGCCTCGCGCGCTCTTGCCCGTGCAGCCATTCCGTTGCTGTTGCTCGCTCGTCTCTCTCGACACGAGGGCGTCGCTCCAGATGGCTCAGGGATGTCAAAAACAACGGTTTCACATCTTGGGAGTTCCAAACCCTGACATGGCGCTGCGCCTTGGATGCGGCGAGATTCATCGCCGATCGCCGAGAGTTATGCCGCTTGGCAGGGCAGATCAGATGTCTGAGGTCTAGTGAGGTCTGTGAGGTCAGGCTGCAGATGTGTTAAGCTCTGACATCTGTTTCCTACGCTCCGTCCTCGCGCCACGGCGCCACGCGTTCAGTACACGACCTTAGAGCTAGTGGTCTAGATAGATAGCATGTACATTTTGTAAATGGAGCCTAACGTTAGTAGTGCGCTTGGCCCCCACCAACGACATGGCGACCACCATGCCAAGGGCCGGAGGTGCGGTGCGAGGACTCGCCTTCTCGCGGTGCTCGCTCTTGCCGCCGTCGCAGGTTGCACCACCATCGCGCTCCAGCTGTTGGCGAGCAGCCTCAACAGCTGGCCCGGCGGGCACAAGGGCGAGGCGATGCGAGCAGAGTTTTTTACAGCATCTTCGTCCGCAACAGGAGTTGCTCCGCTGCCTCCGACTGCCCGCAGCCGCACCTCGTGGGAGCCCGGAGAGGGGAAGCAACTAGCGGGGGGAACCGAACGCCGCCGTTATGGCGACGCTGACTTGAGCCTGGCAGTCCCTGGGCACCAACAGGGCAGGAGACTGCCGCTGTTAGTCGATCGACGGTTCACTGGTCAGAGAACAGGGCGACCACCAAAACCCGAAGAAGAGGCAAGTCTGCTGCTGGTCACGGGAACTGTAGCGTTGTCTGTACGCCGGGGTATTTACAACCTTTACCGTTGCTGGCTAGCACTGCACTCGCTCTCGTTACCACGCACGTCAGTCGAAGCATGTTCATGCAACGAGTACACGTGTAGCCGAATACACAAGCAGCTTGAACAACACTTCTTTTTGCATGAAAAACCACCAGCGGTCACGAGGTTCACGCTTTCTCTGCTGTCAGAGAAAGCGTGGACCTCTTGACCGCTGCTGGTTTTTACCATCTGTTGCTCTCGGGTTGCCGACAAGAGTGTGAGACGACGATGGCATGATTCCCGAGAAGTATGCGCACCATGACGAAGGGGCGTGCGGGCATGTTGTACAACCCTTGCAGCAGTTGAGGTTGAGTGGCCTTCAAGTTGTGTCCTGCCAATAGCCTCTGGCAATGTTTGTTTTTTCGGTTGAGATTGTGACCGCCACCGCCGCCGCCGCCTTGACTGCCGCAAAAGAGAGGTCCCCTTACTCATCTCCTGGGCGTGTCCTCTGGAAGTATGCACTGCTCGCCCTAACGAGGTTGAGCAATCAGGCCTCTCCCGCGTGTTTGAAATCGAGGCAGTCCAAGCTGCAGCGGCCTCGTCATTGCTGTGACCCCGCTCATTGCAGCACTTTCCTTGGCCGATTTCCCGGGAGTCGTTCGCACCTTCCCGCGTTACTTGCGAAGAGTCAGAACTTTGGTGCTCGAGTTCTTATCGTTTGCGTGTTTTAAGTTTGCAGTGTGGCCTCGACAGTTGGGCTTTCGTTTGTCCGTTTGGTTGGGGCTGGTAACTTGAGGTCGATGTTGGATGTTGATGTTGGCACGGGCGTCAGGCACCCGACCGAATGGGATGTGTCACGCCCGGGCCTGGCCGTTTCGAAACCTCACACCCCTTGGTTCATGGTCTGGGGACAATCGTACTCGGCAATCTTTCGCTAGCAATGGTGCGGGTCGAACTCACATGAGTTTTGGAGTACGTGAGCAGCGTTTCCAAGCGTATGATGATGGCGGGTTCTTCCAATATGCATGAATGCACATCTCTCTCCCTTTCTCTCTACAGCGTTCTATCGAGGTCGGATCTTGCCCGAATTACTCAATCAACTAGGCTCGGGAAGAAGATGCAGATCAAAGAATCTTCATCTATTGATGAGTTGCTGGGCGGGGTAGCTCTCTTCTTCTCCCGAAGCAGGAATCTGAGATCCGCAGTCGGGACAAATATACCTTCAGCCCGCAGTGCGAATTCGACTCCTGAATCGGTGCTACAGTCTATCATTATGTAAGTGTAGTCTAGAAATCCCGGCCTCGTGCAACACCCCCCCCGTTTTGCCATCCCACAGTCACACCAACAACAGCAGTCCGGTAAGATCGTCACAAAAACACTCAAGACCTTTGCATTCATATTTCCCCGCACAGGTGCCCCACCGCCCCCCCGCTTCTCCGGAGGGGCCCTTCGGATGGGGAACTGATTGGGTGGCGGGTGTGGGAACTCCCGCTGTCGGCGTGAGGCACGCGGAGGATACTATCGAGCTGGCCTCGTGCTACTCTCCGGTTGGGGACCGGGGCTTCACGGACGACGTGATGAGTAGACGCGTCAAACGCTATCAGAATGCTGACGCTTCGGATCGGGTACGTTTTCTGTTCTTGGGGTGGTGTGGAGGCCCGGATGGTTTTTGCTGAGTCACTTCCTGCGTGAACTTGATTATACATGGAGGAGGTCCTGGGGGTTTCGCTTATTTTTGTGTTAACGGGGTTCACATGCACATGCTAGTTTGGTGTGTGATTTGTTCTGTTCATCACGCACGAGTCATGAGGAACGCATGTCCATCGACCCCTCCCTTTCTCTCTGCCTCTCTCCTCTCTGCGGATTGATAACTCTGTCAGTTTGATAGTCATAACGGCGGCCGCGCAATGTAACAGGGGGTGGGTACCCTCTACCCCGCAGACTCGGCTTGCTCCAAAACCTTACACCACCTACCGGATTAGGGGAAAGCTTTGCTTAGCCCTCATGTCTGGTCTGCTTCTCGCCATCGTTGGAGGGTTGCGCGAAGAGCTAGCATTGTGCTGTCCAAACTGAGAACGCTCACCTTAGGCACCTTTAATCTTGCTTTTCATTTCACGGTGGTGAGCGCTGGCATGTGAGCATCGCGATGATACGGCCACTGCGTCATGGGCCTTTCGAAGCACGCCGCTTCGCCGTAACCGATTTGGGGATCGTTTGTGCATGCACTGCGGCTTATCCTCACACTGTTCACCCTTGGTCGGTCGGGGCAGTCAACGTGCGGGCGGTTCGCAGATCACATTCGGTAGACATCTCAGGGTCTCCATAGGTCCAGCAAGTTGTGAGATATGTCGATTTGAAGCCGTCAAAAGAGGTTGAGAATCCTTGAAGGGGAGTGTTACGACGCTGTCGATAACGATACAGAACACGCCACCACTTAGGAACTCAGTTCAAGAATTTGAGCCTGAAAAAACACAATATGTGACCACTTGAGCACCATTTGTGAGCTCGGTTAAGAACCCCTACAATAAAACCTATATATACAGCGGCCATTTGTAGCATGAACCTAGGAACTAAGAACCTTCCTCGACCGAAACTATCAATAGAGCTTCTTGAAGGCGGGCGCGTTCTGAAACGATGGATACGTTGCTATTCTGGTCGTTTCTGTGCTGTTCACAAGTTTCTCTTGTCCGCCACATAGGCGTTCTTGTTTTTCCCATAGCACCATTCGCACTTCCTCTCCCCAATGATGGAAATATCTCAGCAGGATCGCGTGGACGGGGCAGTCAAAGGCAGAATTTACACCGACCGTCTTTTGTTCCGGCGAACCATGTTCATCGATATCCCCTTGTGCGTTTTCTGGACGGTGTCGCTTTTATGTTTTGTGTTGTTGTTTGGTTTCGAACAGGTAGTTTCTTGCACGCGGACCAAGGACAGAGGGCGATACCTGCCGGAGTGGGTGGCATACCACTGGGCGATGGGCGTGGACGAGATGAACATCTTCGACGATGACAGCGTAGACGACACTAGAGAGGCACGCATTTTTGTTTGACGTTGGGCGATTGCGATCGGGGGATTGTCTGGTCTTGTTCTACTTTAGTGCGGTGCATGTCGTGGGGCGGCGGTTGGTGTGTGGAGTTAGGCCGATGCATGGAATGCGTTGTCTAGAAATTGGCCAGGATGACGGCGTTGATTGATTCGGGGCGACCATTGGGACAATCGTGCACTCTGTTTTCGGCAGCCTTTCCGGTGAAGTGGTCTATCGGAACAGATGGCTTTCTGATCGTACCGCCTCGGGCTACGGAGAAAATGCATGTGGCAACGTTAACCCGGTACATGGAAGGCTCCAGATCAACACTTACGTCCTTGGGGTACACCGCCACCGATGGTTGATTTCATGGCGACTATGTAGATCCTAGGCGTCAGCGGCTTATTCCCGTTATTGGAAACACGCATCATTGGGCTACCTTGCTATTCCGGTTTACTGCCTTCCATGCTCCTCTCTCTCTCTCTCTCTCTCTCTCTCTCTCTCTCTCTCT